TTCGAAGACGCTTGTGTGCGAAAGAAAGAACGTTTTTGATAGGGAAGAAAGGTAAAGAGCACAGTAATATACGATTGATGAATACTAACTATTATGTAAACTATTTAGTAAAAGGTAGAAGCAGACCATATCCTATAATTTTTTTTCGGAGACAGAGGCATGGGGGTAGGCTCAACCATAAAGGGATATAGAAGATATGGTGGAAAATGGAAGCAGTGCATGCATGGTATGAACATCAATGTGTGCATCACAAATGAAAACATGACATCACAAACATGCATGTACTGCTTCTCCAAGCTGGACCATCCCATCCATCGAAAGGTTATAAAAGGCAAAGAAATCAAGACAAAAGTCAAAGGAGCGTTCTTGTGCCGTAATCCTGACTGTGTTTTGGTCTCAAAAAAGCTGCCAAGCCCAGAGATAACCTGTCTGCCCTTGCATGGGTCTTTCTGGCCTTTGCTCACTGCTCTTTCAGGAAACATTTCCTGAACTATCTGCTAAAATCAGCCACTGTAGCACTGAATTTATAAACAAGACCGCATCCTTCCTAAATGCAAGAGAATGCTGGGATACTGGCCATGATGCCAGTAATCGGGGTAAGTCTAATATTCTTCAATAGATCGAGTTGTGACTTCTTAATTGCGGTGGCAGTTTAACGTTCCCGAACCGAACTCTATTGAGTGGCTAAAACGACAACGTGTAAAAAAGTGGAGCAAGAGCGAGAATGAATAGGAGAAGATAAAGAAAGGGAGGCAAAGCGAATAGGAGATGTATCTTGAAAAGACAGAAAGGGGGGAAGGATGTCAATAAAGAAGGATACTTGCATACGTTTCAATGGATATAAAAAAGAGAATATATTTCTTTATTCTTTATTCTTTTTTATATAAATATATTCTTATTCCATGTCAAGTTACCTTCATCACATTAACTCAACACAGACATTGTCCTCTCCTGTAGTCGATGGTCAAGTAGACCATGTTGTCTTTGTTATCCATGTAAGTTTTTTTTTTTTCTTGTAAATTACACAGTTGTACTGATTTATTTATAAATAGGGTATTGGCAGAGTAAGTTTGATCTGATCTATAGCAAAAATATATATATATATATATATATATACTTATCCGTTCTATAGCAAACAGAAAAATTTGGCTTCTTTCAAAAGCATTGTAAATATGAAAATTGTATTTATGGGTGGCAAATTACTTATAGTTACAATAGTACAAAGCCTGTTTGATACAACAAATGAAGCCGTAGAAATGAATCGTCCAGGAACACGGGTTAATATCCAATATATCCCTATCGAATGGCATAAGCACATACATGAAGAAACAGACGCTATCATGGACCAAGTTACACCAAGGTCCATTACTGGCTTAAGAATGATCAATAATGACTACTTGGCCGATGCCTTCTTTTATCTGTCGAATGACCGTGGACAGAGTATCATTAATCATGTGACCCAAACATTTAATACATCTTACCGTAACTTTATGAATGCAAATCCAGGGTTCAGCGGTAAAATCGCTATTGTTGCCTACTCGTAATGTATAGTGATATGCACATATGAATACATAACTTACCTGTGTCCCTTGCAGATTAGGCGGCATCATCACTTGGGACATTTTATCTCACCAAGCGCATTCCAATAAGTCTCTTGAGGATATCAAAAGGATATCCAAATTAGATTTACATTTCCCATCTCTTGACTTCAAGCCTGATTACCTCTTTACTCTCGGAAGTCCTTTGAGCGCCTTTCTGATTGTTCGAAACCAGGACCCCAATGTATACCATCCAGACCCTTCTATTCATTTTGAAAACATATTTCATCCCTTTGATCCCTTAGTAAGTATATACAGATATTAATTATTTAACCGATTACTTATCCCTCCTTATTATTATAGGGCTATCGTTTTGAACCATTACTCACCGACGCATACAAGAATACCCCTGCTGTCCTCGTTGACAGATGCTCACCTCAGTTCACATCATCTTTTATCTCATCTGCTACCACCTTTCTACAACAGATCACAAGTCATAGTATGTGGGATCTTGGCCGTGCTCTGATTTCATCACTCTTAAGGGGCGATTGCCGCTCCAAAAAGCACGAGGAGCTGCATAAGACAGACATAGATTGCTTTGTAAATGAAGTGCCCAAGCTATCGATTGATACTCAAGGTACATTGAGTGACGATGAAGAAGAATGCCCAACGCCTCCCGAAACACCGACTTTCCCTTTCAAGAAACGTGGCCGCTCCCCTTCCTTTTCGTCCTTTGACGCTATGTCCAATAAGAAGATCTGCTGTGAGGAAAAGATCAGTCCATCAGATCAAGCCTTACTCGACACAACACGGACCAGAGGCTCCACTGTCGCCGATGATTCGTTTGAGCATGATCTCCCTCGTCGACTCGACTTCGTTCTTCAACCTGAAAAATTCATGGGCGTGGTCGATAAGAATCCTTATCTTTGTGGATTGACTGCACATTTTTCGTATTGGACTCATAAAGATCTCATGTGGCATATCGTTCGTCGTCTTGAAAATTAAACCCTTTTCTCCTTACTTTATAAATACATATTGTGAAAGAATAGGTGTGTATCTTGTGAATTAATATATATATATAAATAAAAATACATTCTGTTTAAAAAAAAAAAAGAGGATTTCAGTTTTTATTTTACCATAAAATCCCTAAAGTGCGTTTTGACGTAAAGAAGATGAGAGAAGATGCTTCAGAAAAACAAGAAAAAAAAAAGGAGGAGGAGAAAGGGGGGAAGTCAGAATAAAAATCATATGTGTATATAATTGATGATTATTTTATTACTTTGCAGTGGTCGTGGCAGTAGCAGTAGTAGTCGTAGTAGTAGTGGCAGTATTGGTGTTGGTATTACTAGCAATAGCTGCAGCTGCAGCTGCAGCTGTCATTTGATCCATCATCATGATTTCATTGTTGCTCATAAATTGTGTATAAGACTCATCATAGAGCGCACTATTGGATTCGTTGACAAGTCCAAATGAGGAGTTTGAGGAAGACGTTGAAGTAGATGATAAAGAAGGCTGGAGACCAGGCACCAAGATGCTGTTCTCTCGACTTTGTTCTGGTGAAGGAGGTAAATGAGATAAGGCGCGTGCTCTGGCTGTCATCATGGATGGGTCGTCCACATAGACAGATAAGAGAGGTGTTATACTATTTTCAGCAGCAGCAATGATCATGGGATCCACAAAACCATTGGCCGTATTATTATTATTATCGAGTGTTCGAGGCAGATTGTTTAAAAGCGACCAGTCTTGAAAGGAGTTGTTTGAATATGGCACACAAATGTCGTTCGTGTATGAAGGAAAGTAGTAATTTGAAGATGGACTCATAAAGTCGACAGAGGAGGAAGGAGAAGATGAGGCCAGATAAAAGGAGGACGAATCGCTAAAGTTATTGGCCATCACTGACATGGCGGCACTGTTGGTTGTTTGGTTGGATTTCTTTTTGCTAAGGACTGGGCTCGACTTGGCTCTACCGGTATTACTGACGGCATTATGATCCATTTTATTATTTCTCCCAGAACAAGCTGATGCATTCTTGTCATGACTAGATGATGTTGAAACGGATCCTGCGGCTGCGGCTGCGGCTGCTCTTCTTCCTCTAGCTGCTCGCTGTTCACCACGTAAGCGTAATTGAGCTACGATAGAGCGAGATTCTTGCAGATCCTTTTCCGTCTTGATGATTCGTGAAGTCAAGGTGCTTGCACTTGTCTTGTCGACCTCGTTTGATTCGCCGCAGATTGATCTCACCAGGTTGCGCTGCGACTCAAGATCAGTCTCGATGCGTCTAATCTTTGCCTCTAACTGAGACAGGTTGTTAATAAATGGATCCACATTTGTCGGTTGCGTGTTGCGAGAGCGACGTGAACTTGGATAAGCGCACAAGATGCCTGTGGAAAGACATCGAGTGCAGTTGGGGTGAATTCCATCACAGCGTACCTACAGTCTCATTAGGATTGTTAAAAATATGAGAAATCTCTATCACCTTTTTATGATGGCAGCGATAGCATGCAATAGGCGCTCTTGGCCTTTTCATCGATGGGTGCATTCGTGTCATTGTTTGAGAATCGCCTACTGTTGTCTTATTGATAACACTGGGCTTATTGTATTGCATAGAATCGGATTTATTGGCTGTTGTCATAATGAGTGGAATGATATAAAAAAAAAGAGAGAGAGAAAGCGAAAGAATAAATGAAAGGAAGATTGAAAACTAAGAAATGAGATGAAGAAAAGAAAAGAGAAAAAAGTAGAGATTAAACTGCTTATATACATAATTATTACATGTGAGTAAGCCCTTCTACTCTTTCTCTTTTTCCCTTTCTCTCTTTTTCTTTCATATACTCCTTTAAAAGAAAAAAGATTGTGTATGTATATTTTATGACTTCTTTACATCTCCCATCCGTCCATGTTTGAATATAGTTAATAATTTTGCTATTATTATTATTATTATTGTTAGCCTGTTATGATTAGAATTCATTATTCTCAACTCTTTATCTCTTTTAAATACTTACTCTACTTGATCATTGTTCTCACAGAAAAAGGAAAAGACTAACGTATCTGTTTGATTTGGTTGATATTTGAATATGTAGTGCACTACAATGTAATTGATTTGCGTCTAAATAACCTCATTCATATTACTTTTTCATGCGTAAACACACTTAAATTTCAATTATAACAAAGTACCCAAAAAAAGGGTTCTGTATTAAAATGATATCATGAAAACATATATTTTTATCATATTTATATTGTATAATATATAAATAGTCTTCTCCTTTTTTTTTTCTCTTTCTTTTTTAATAATATTCATGATATTAACAAGCACAATTACTTGAGCCTTGTTTGCTTGTATTAGCATCACGCAAGATATCAAGGCTTGCATTATTTCCTGCACCATTAGCTCTTGCACCACTTCTATTGTTTGCTAGGTATTCATGAGGAATATGTTTGGCTAAAAGAAAGACAAGAGTAAGAATATACAAGACCAATCATCACTTTGATATATATATACCTATTTCTATAAACACAGAGTCAACGTTGGTTGACTTTTTTGCACTAGTTTCAAAAAATAAAAGCCCTGCTTCAGATGCATAAGCTGATGCTTCTTCATATGATACTTGTCGACTAGCTGAATCATCCTGTTGCTCTTCTTCGACTAGATCAAGCTTATTTCCAACCAACGCAATCACAATTTGAGAATGTGCTTGACGTTGAAGTTCTTTAATCCAACCTTTTGCTTTTTCTAGCGTTGACTATTCTACAAGTTGAGAGAGAGAGAAAATCGTATGTTACTTCTTATTTACTTACAGTCTTTGTAATATCATAAACAACAATAGCTGCCTGTGCATTTCTATAGTACATTGGTGCTAAAGAGTGGAAACGTTCTTGTCCTGCTGTATCCCATATTTCAAACTTGATAGTGCGATCGTCAACTGGGCATTTTTGTGTCAAAAAGGCAGCTAAGAAAAGCCATAGTCAGCTTTAGTTTATCTTCTTTCTTATGTGTATACCTCCAATAGTCGGCTCTCTGTTGTCGGCATACTCTTTGTTTACAAAGCGATGAACTAGACTAGATTTGCCAACTGCTGATTCACCTATTCTAATATGTTAATTTTATAATAAACATCACCTATATTCTTATACCTAATAAAACAAGCTTAACTGGGATTGGTTTTCTATCTCCAGCGTTCACAGTAGAAGACATTGAAAGGATATACGAAAGAAAAAAAGAATGAAAGAAGAGAAAAAAAAAAAAAGAACAGCCAAGACAACACTTGTTAGTCGCCACTATTTTATCCAATCAAATAACTAGAATTATCTCTAAATTCGCCACCAGATCCCACCTTAAGCATCACACTCTTTTTTTTAAAATATCTTCTTGGCATATAGAATATATGAGGGTTATTCAACTAGACAGAGATGAATAAACTCAGAAAGTAAGTAAAGAAAGAGCTCATTAACCAAATGTGTGTGGTGCCCAAAAGGGCAAACTGTTACACTTGAAGAATATCCTTTTATATAAAATAAAGAATTTGAACAATCCAAACAGATGGAAAAAAAAGGAAAGAAAAGGGATAATCCCGATATTGAACTTTATTTTTTTTCTGAGAGGGAATTGAGGTAATTTTCTTTGTTACAGAAATAAAGGGAGAGAGAAAGAGAGAGAGAAAGAATGAGACAGAAAAGAACCTGCATGAAAGTTCAATGCACACACGTATAAAATTCGAAGCACGATGAGTTAAAGATTTAAATCAGATTTATTTTTAACTTTTTTTTTCTTTACTTCTTTTCTTTTTTTCTTTTTATATATATATATAAATAGAGTCATGTCAACAAGGACATGGACTGATCTCAGTAAATTACCTTCTCATTCACAAGTTGACACTCTGACAACAGCAACAACAACAACAACAACAATGAACAAAATAGCAGTGGGAGACAAAGTACAAATCAACTCACTCTTGGGTACAGTAAGATATATTGGAGCAACAGACTTTAAGGCCGGTACCTGGGCTGGGATTGAATTGGACACTGTTGGATTAGGAAAAAATGATGGATCTGTTGATGGGTAACACGTTTTTTATAAAAAATAGTGAGCAACACTTTTAACCTTCTTTAGCAAGCGCTACTTTCTTTGTCCTCCCAAAACAGGATTATTTGTACAAGTTGGAAAATTAACAAAAGTTAACAATCATCAAAAACAACACAGACCTTCAACACCTCATGTACCAGCCAAAGTTGCATATAAGAAACATAATATACCACTTCCACCACCTAAACGAATGATGTCTATCGAGAATAACCAAGAAATGATGCAGCTTCAACAAAGGATCGACTCACTGGAAGCAGAGAATCAATACCTGAGGCTTCATCAGGAAAGCCGAGTGCCATCTCTTCAAAAGAAAATGATAGAACTTGAGACACTGCTCACAGGAAAAGACCAAGAAATTCAGGAAAAGGATGGAAAGATTCATAAATTAGAACAAATAGTTGCCGAGGTTAAAAGGGCCGGAATTGACAGTTTAGAAATGCTAGAATCAGTTGTACAAAATTACCAAAACCAAGTTGCAGCACTAGAAGAGGCACTTTCATTAGAAAAGAACAAAACAAGGCAACTTTTGCAGGATCAGGAAGAGCTTCGAAAGGCTGGCCTTGAAGCGATTGAATCAAATGAGTCGACACTCAGGGAGTTTGAAAAGGCAAAACAGCTCTGGCAGTTAGAAAAGATCAAGCTACAAGATGAATTTAAACAAAGAGAGGCACAGCTGATGCAGTCTCATCATCATGAGATAAAGACTCTTTTACAGGACATTAGCATTTTAGAAGTTGTGTTACAAAGTAAAATGGACAAAGAACACGAACTGAATGCGTCATTGAGGAGGGAAAAACAATGCAACAATAAACTGACAGCTGAAATAAAAAACTTGAAATTCCAGATAAAGATTAACGGCATAATACCCTTTCAGTCACCTGCTGATTATCGTTGTAGTCATCGGTGGTCGTTTCGCGACAGGTTGGATACACCCATTGAAGAGGAAGATGAAAGTGATTTACCACTAGACTGTGCTCTATGTGGTAAGAATGGACATGATATTATTCATTGCAGCATCTTATCAGAGAACCAACAAACTAACATGCACATACATTAATCATTTTGTATATATTCTATTTGTAATTTTAATATAATTAAATGTGTAATACATAATAAAATGAAAAGCTTGCTTCTCGTGTTACCCACACTACCCAGTGTAACCATGGAAACTCTAATTTGAAGGGGATGGTCTAGTTTGCACTCTTAAAAATAGCTGCTAAGAATAGTTTAATGCTGTAGAAATACAAGTCATTCCTCTTTTTCTTCATTTTATTAAATACAAATATAGTAATTACTGGGAATTAACTTGATTCAAAAGCGATTGACGTGTCTGATGAGATGATTATCCTTAGTAGAGCATTCATTCCATTATATTAGGCCTAATAACGGTCATGGATTTTCTCCCTATATCATTTATTCAAATTCTACTTGGTGGCACTCAGTTCTTCTTAATAACTAAATATTCAACTACAGAAAAAAGGTTCTTAAAGATCAACATGAAAATGTTGCAATTTGTGATCTCTTGATAAACGTGACAGAAAGCTCTCTTTGCTCGAAAAAATTGTAATTGTTTTTTATTATTTTCTTCTTAAAGCTGTTTTAATGATGCTATTTCCTAAATGAAGCCAAGGGAATTTTTCTGGTCTAATGGCCCTGGTTTATATGCTCGGTACATGGAACTGTGTTAAGAAAATGATATTGGAGGGGATAAGGCCCTATTGCCTCCCTAGAACGTCGGGCGAAAGATGTAGTATTTGGTAATACAGGCGATCTCTTGGGCGGAGCTCCTCCTGGACCTTTGATTATATCGTTGATTATATCTTCGATTATACTCTCCCTTTGTTTCTGAGCTTATGTTATAGCGATACCGACGATATTAAAGCATATAGTTTATTTTATGAGCCGAATCTTTATGCCAAGAAATACCATTACACCCATTTCCCTTTTTATTCGTCTCATTTACTTATTTTAGTTTTAATTTTACTATTGTGTCAATTCAATCATTGTTTTCTTAAAAGATCATTGTAGCTTATAATAAACAATATCGAATGCTTTGTTTTAATTCTTCTTAATCTGTCAATTTTATCAATTATGATGTCTTACGCTATCTGTTGAATTCTAGAGCCTTCATGCCGGAATAAAGAATAGCAATTATTCGAGCGCAGACGGATAAATATACGCTCATATTATATTTGTATATATCCTTCACCAATCATGTGAATAAAAATTTGCCCTCAGTATAAATCTGATGAAAAGTTACTATAAATATTTAACAGAAGATGTCAACATTGTAAATCCGACAGCTAATACCAATTGTAAGATACGTTTACACATTGCGCGTATTACATATGATGATGATTTGGCATATCTAAATTAGGTTGAAGAGAATTTTTAGACTATACCGAATATGTCAACTGTCAACATGTCACAAAGTCTTACCACAGAAAAAGTGACATATTTGGAAAACAATATATCCCCGCCGCGCGATCTGCGATTGCTTTTTTTCTATGCATAAAGATGGAAGCCAGCCTCTACGAAAAAAAGACACGTATTGTATCTTTCATCTTGAATTTTTCAAAGAAAAAAATACGCTGTCATTACAGCAGTTGATCTACCATCTCCCTATTAGTTCATATTCTGCCACATTGGTAACACATGCACAAGAAGAAAGTCATTATTTGAATCCGTATAAATTCTTTTTTAGGACAGGCGGTTAGGCCTTGTCACACTAAATGAGCTCATTAAAAGTTTTTGTGATGCAATCAGCAGACATTCAGAGATCCCAGAAAGCTTACATCTACTTGCTTTTTGAAATACTGTGTGGATATTTAGTGACATTATCATGTGTTTACCTTTGGTTGTTTTAAATATGGCTATTCTTGATAAGAGCACTCTTTACTGTATACATATAAAGGTTTTATAGTAACTGCTCAGTTAAACATTTGTAAATAGGTGATATACGCTTTATTCAAGTTTACAGAATTTTTTTTAATAGTGACCAGAAAACATACTCAGTTCTTTAAAAAGCTACTTTAAATTACACATCATTTCGCGCTTAATACTACTTACAGCCATGTGGAAGGATAGAAATTAAGGCCCAAGGAGTATATACATGTTTGCTTTATAACTTATTTCAAAATACGCTTTGTAAGTATTCTATACTTAGCGCTTTTAAAAAATGATATATGTGATTATTCTCTATTAATCCGAAAACCAAGGTTGTATACGCTTGTCTTTCCTTCATTCTCATCATAAAATATTTTATTTAATGCACCAAAGCATGAAGAATAGTATGAGTACAAATAATAGGTATTTTTACATTGATTATGCAAGTACGGCTTAGAAATGTATACTCTATGATAACGACCAATAAAAGTATTTTCATTACTGTATTTTTTTTTTTTTTGAATAAAGGCCCATATATCAGAAACGAAGCTTCTATGTCTCCAAAGATAGTAGATTAAGTATATCAATAACATATTGCTTCAACAATTCACTTACTTGAAATGTGTAGCTTTTTATATTTAATAATGGATAATCCTAAGGAACAACATCATCGCCATAGCCTAAAATCATAAAGCAGAAAACGCGTTTACAGAATTTCAACCGAGTTTTTCAAAATAGAACACGAGCTTATGATGATTTATTATTACAGATAATGACTATGCAGCATACATCAATTGTTGAAAAAAAAAATTAAAGCGTAATTCAAGGTATAACAATGAGAAAAAAAAAAAAAAAAACTCTTTCACAATAGTGAAAAGTCAAGTAAACTCTACAAAAAAGTTAATTTTATTAAGAAATTACAGTCTTCTAAGCTTTTTGTTATAATAAAGATGAAATAGCTTCTAGAAAAGTTTTATATTGACATAGTCTTACAATGCAATATATGAAGAGCTATTGGCGTGATTGGTGGTAATATTGGGGTAGCATTACTCATTAGTACACTTTAATCTTATTTCAGGAGAAGAGGTCTTTTGCATATTTTTTCAAAATAAAAGCTTGAAGTGATTTAGATACCTTGTTTTATCGTAAATTCATCCATGTATCTCTGTATATTGGTTAAACAAAAAGCAGTGTGTTTTTAAAAGTAAAAAGACTTCATAATTTTGCGCTAATATTCACTTTAAAAGAATACTGGAAGAGCTTATCATAATTTGTATCAAGGAAAGTAACATCACAGTAACATGTGCTACAACGGCGGTGCATAAAAATGTACTTTATAAAAAAAATTTATTTTGTTTGCTCATCGTTTATTTACAAATCAACACATTCAGTAATTCTTCAATCTCTTTCTCTTTCACTATAAACAAGTCAGAGATTCCCTTTCTATTTTGTAGCGAAATCAAAGCAACCTTCTAATAGCAAGTAAATTAACCACAATCCAGTATTGCAATTACCAAAAGCGGAAGTATTTATATATTTATATATATTAACCACAACCAGGTTCAAAAGCACATATGGAAAACAACCAATACACTGTAAATTATGAATATGGAGAAATCAACCATATTGATATTGTAGAAGCTACTAGAGTCGATATTTTACTGTATGAAGATTCTCGTCTCCAAAAAATATTCAAAAAAAATAAGCCATAAGGCATTTATAACCATTAGGGAGGGACTATCACTGATTGCTGAAGATGAAGATATGGTTGATTTTCGTGAGAGAGCCATAAGATGCAATTGCAGGAATAGGTTAATTTATAATCTCCCTTGTCGCCATAGTCTTGCAGCATTACAAGATCGATTCGTTAAAGTGAAGGATGTTTCGAGAAGGTGGAGAATGATCAGTGAAGCCAATTCAAATGAAAGCGTAGCAAGTATCACTATGATTCCCATTCAAGTGAAGAAGCCTGAGCCTTGGATGAAGTATGTCACTCTTTTAGAGTCTGCTTTCAGAGCGTGCGACGGTAATAGCAACAAAATGAAGAAGATAGTGAACGGCGTTGAAGATGTGTTGTCTAAAGTTCCTGAACTGAAGCACACATTAAACGAAAATCCTGACTATGTTGTTGCTGATTCTCACCACCTTGATATCATGTCACCCAAAGCAGAAGATGTAAATGCACCAGGAAGACCAAGAAAAGCCAGAAGATTTACATCTCTTAAAAAAGACTTTAGCAAAGCCAAGTTCCGCGCTCTATATGCTTTGTATGGTAAGCGAGTCAAAGCCAGAAAAATATTAAAAAAAAAGCAGAAAAAAAGAAACAACAAAAAAAGAAAAATTGACGATGTTGAAGAAGAAAGCAAAAATTTGATAGAAGAAACGAGTAGTGGATCAAGAGCTTTCCTTAAGTCAGATTACGTTTATGACGCGAAGTCCTTGTTTGAGAAAAATAAGAAGGGAAGGATAGATATTAGTGTCTTGTTGTCGACCAAGAGGGATGCTGTTTTGTACACATTCGATCTCAAAGGTGATGGCTGGTGTGACTACAGAGCAGCTACTGAAATGGTGGAGAAGAATGAAAACATGTTTTCCAGAGTAAAAGAAATTATGCTTCATGCATTCGAAGAATACAAAAGCATATCCGCGAAAGTTTTTTGTTTCAAGTCCTGGACCGTCTAAAGAAGAACATCGAAAACAGTATTGACTGGACTATAACCACACGTTGTTCCAAATTCTCTGGCGACAGATTTTTCTACACTCCCAAATGTGTACAAGGAGTAGCAGATGCTTACTGTGTTCTTTGTTTATATTTACAGCAATAACAGCAACATGGAAGCAGTAATATATCTGCTTATTGGTTATATGACAAACAAGACGAAGCAGCGCAGTTCGAAGCCATAAGTATTGCAAAACGAAAACAACATCCATTGAGTTTCAATCAAAGTGGATAGAAAGCTCCAGAAGCAACAGCCACATTGTTCTATCGTTTTTTTTTTTTTTTTTTTTTTTTTTTTTTCTCGTTGCATAGAAGAATTCCATACTTGCTGGAACAAGGAGAAGATGTTCACCAATTATGTTGAAAGAAACAATCATTCTCTTCCAGGGCTCTCTGGTGATATTGTTACGTCAGATAGCTGAAGAAGTATCGTCGTATAAATTAGTTAAACCATTAACTCCATTGTTCCTATGAGTGACAGATTGTTGTACAAGCTTAACCTAAAAATATAGAAATTTCACCCTATATGTCGTATTTACCTTATAAATACTTGCTCTTATCGTATGAGATTACTATAAATCTATACTCTAAGAATGAGTGATAAAAAGAGACTGACAACAATACACGTTATTAACATATAACGCGACATGCCCAACTATTATTGGCCATAATTAAATCGGTTCCTTAATAATTCTGTCTTCATGGTTTTCCGCTGACTAGTTCTTCCACACAGATGGTGACTTTCTTAGACAAATTGCTTGGTTCTACTCAATTGATTGCCCATCGTCTTGCCTTACGGAAACTATCGGTTCAAGGACGCGTCTTGATAACCAATACGTTGATACTTAGCAGAATATGGCATTGTCTACGTGTCCTCACTGTACCTGCTTACTTTCTCGCCAAGATCCGTTCAATAGTTGACCAATTCATCAATTTCAGATCCTTCCCAAAGGTGGGCTTTGACGTTTGTCGATGCCCGCGAAAGGAGGGCGGTTTAACGGTTCTGGATCCAGCTACCCAACTTCATGCACTTCAGTTACATTGGCTCCGACCACTCGTTCAACCTGACACGGAATCAAATTACAACCACTCTTTTGCCCTACAAACGTTACAATACTGCTTATGCAGCTTCTCTGGTAGTCCCAGCTCTATTCCGCCTTTGTCCTTCGCAGAATTACGTTTGCCGGATGTAAAAGCAATGGGTTGCTGCAAGCTCCTATTTCAAGTAGTAGACATGCTGAATTTCTCTGTTAACTGGGAGGCGTTGAATATATCGATGGTCATAGAGATTCCGGTTTCGCGGATATACTTCGATCTACCGACTTGGAACGGTCGTGGTCGCCGAACAAACTGGGGCCAACTGCGGATGAAGGATATCTTCGGATATAGCCCAATTCACAGCTGTTTGAGACAAAGACCTTACTTGTCAAACACAAGGTTTAAACATCGAGTAAGCCGATTCCATTCCTGGTTAGCAGATGGCCAGAGTCCAGTGCACTCCTCCATTGCAACCTTGTTCACACCGCACAACCTCAGACCAGACAGCCAATTCCAGTATACGCTCTGTCGAATGCTTCAACCTAACTTTGAAGATCTACTGACGGTAGAGCTACCAGGAGCCTTGGACTTTCATCATATATAATTCAAGCTATTCTGGAACTCACAGTTACTCCCCATTGATGACTTACCGGCCCACTATCCGCGTGGTCCTGCTACGGCATGGCGCGCCTTCTGGTTATCTTCCTTCCCATACCAGGCGCACACCGTGCTCTGGAGGTATTATCATCGTAAGTTACCAACACGCCAGCATCTCCATCAGCTTTGTCAGGATCGACACTTGGATCCTTATGTCTTCTATGTGGAGGTGTCGAAGACGATGAGCACTTCTTGTGGTCTTGCATGTTCAAAAAAGAAACCTGGCCACGCGTTGCGAATCGCTTTTTACAGCCTACTGCGAGACTTGCCTATGAATCCCTGGCCTTAGGCTCGTCTAAACATATACAATTGATTTCAGGACTACATGTTGATGGTCAAACAATCATTGCTTGTACGGTCTAAGCTATCTGGCGGTGTCATTGGCGTTTTGTATTTGATGGCCGTACCTTCTGGCCCGATGAAGCTGCTGCACGAGCAACACAAGCAATCAACCGAATACATGATGAAAATATTTATAGAGAGCGTTTAAAATCATCTCGCTCGGGTTAATGCAGCCCTTTTTTTTTTTTTTTGTTTCATGCTTCTGTGCTCTTTATTATTTTCTTTAATACGTACAAGCCGACTGGCGATATTTGAATAAAATGTACGTTTTACCAAAAAAAAAATCCTGTCTTCATTTAAAATGACGCTGTTTGTAATAGTGAGCTCTTGCTTGTCTCAATATACAATAAAGAGGTTATATAGAGACACATCGACACCCATTTCCCTTATTATTTCTTCATATATTCGAGACATATCACATGATTTTTGATTGGTCAAAAATAAAGTCATGAAGTATAAGGGTGTATTCAGATGGGAAGCTTTTTCTTCTCTATCTTTCATGCTTTGGATGGCTCACTTTATTTACGCAATAAATAACCGCAAGTGCAAGTGTTTTCTTGGCTTAGCGAGCTTTTTGTTAACGTATGAACTGCTTTTCAGTACTGTCGCACGGATAAAAAGCGGGGTTTTTATGGGGTGTTTTCATCTGCTATTCATTATGTGGTAGATTCTCCATATGAGGCTGGTAAGCTGACCTCAACGACTGCTATAGGTGTAGAGTATGGCCTCATCATAGGCAGTACAGCAATCGCGTTCTATGCTTGGCGAGACTACGTTGGTCTAGGGTTACTGACTCTATTGGGTTCAAGGGTCTATCCGAGACTTTTTTTTTCCTCCACAATGCTAGAACAGGTCTTCGTCCTGTGGGGGATGGATCCAAGCTATTTTAGCTAGCTTTGGTGAACGAAGATTCTAGCTTTTCTTTATGAATTATTTAAACGAAAAAAGTAAATCAACAGCTTATGTCTTTCCTTTTTCAGACAAAGATCGCAGCCACACTACAAGATATATTGTGCGCAGCATATCCTGCGCTTTTCTTTTGAGTTATTCCTTACTTGACAGCTGGTTGTTCTTGTGTATACTTTATCTCAATATGCCAGGCTTCAATGAGATACCTAGTGAAATTTTACAGCAGATTTTTGCATATGCTCAGAAGAATTTCAAGTACAAGGAAAGCTGGATGGTGCAATACCAGCTTGTCTGTAAGAGATGGAACCAAGTTGCAAGAACGTGTCTGTATAGCACAGTATATATATACAGCAATAAGGACATGGAAAAATTTTTACACTGTATGAAAAACAGCAGCGCAGGGCGCCTTGCTCGAACCATATTTTTTGACAGAAGATACAAAGAATATGAAACAGCAGAGCTTTACGTTAATGAACTTGTTGAAGTCTGTCCAAACGTAGAACGCGTTAAGGGCTTCATTAGGAACTATGATTTCTGGCGTGCTCTTGCCACTGCCGCATCAAAGCACTGGCCTCATATAAAGGAACTTACTAACCCTTTTGACTTAACTGAACACCGCAATTACTTTGATTGTTACAACATACTTATTTCGCTTTTTCGTCATTCACTCACTCACGTCTATTTACCACCAGAGCATCCTTCTACTCCCATAATGAAAGAACTCTGTCAGCGATTACCAGAGTTTAGCAACTTAACGCACTTGATTATCGACAAGATGGAAATCTTTTGGTCACTTATAGACTATGATGAAATAATCCAGCTTTGCCCTAACTTGACATCTTTAATCGTAAACTCAAAGACGCCTTATTCGGATGTGGGGAGCAGAATACCTACCACACCTGAAATATTGTCTACACAACCACATAGAAACATCAAGTCTTTACGCGTGTGTCGGGTCAGTCATCTAGGCATTGTTGAATACATCATGCACAAGTTTCCCAACCTTCAGAATCTGGAGTTGATATCTTACAACTATCCCCGTTTTGAATATCAATTGGAGAGCTACTTCGATAATATCGGCGATAGGTTTATAGAATATCTAAACTCAATACAAACATATGAAATTAATGCAACGGGGTCATTTTCTTTGCTTGAAGCGTACGTAAAACACAAACCCAACGCACACATTCATCTTTACACTGCGCTGACTCGCTTTCCAAAGCTTTACTTGAAACAGACAAGTATAGAAAAAACACCATATATATGTTTAATTGACATGCTGGAGAATAAAGAAAAGTTCTTACAAACGCTCAAAAAATACCAACATAATGTCACAACGTTTACCTTGAGTCTGGAACGAGGCCATAGCAACAGTACCGTATGGATTGAAGATATTCTCACTACCTGTACGCAAATGAAGACGTTCCACTACGGGGCATCTAAGTCTTTCCAGCCGCCATCACAAGCTGCAATAGATGCAAATGTGCCTTTGAATTCGACACTAGATACTCTTACACTGAGAGTGCGTGCCGTAGAAAGTGGGTCACTTGCTGGTTACTTGCGTCTCTTGCCATCAGTACGTCATGTAAACATTA